GTTCAGGTTGGTTTTAGTTAAATTGCAAAAAAATCACATGCATGTGCTGAATTTGAAATGCTAACCTTTCACTTCTGATTTTCTGTGCTTTCTCTATGTGATGAACTTGCTCCTTAAATACTGCTGAGTATCTTGGGCGGTTTCCAAACAGCTGCACAGAAGTACAGCTCCAGCGGAGATGTGATTTAGAGCAACTTCATTGTTGTGGGGGGGTTTCTGCCATCCCAAAATACACATTATTAGGGAGAAGGTATTGGGATAGTGATAAGGGCATTTTTTATTATTTAAATTTCAAAATGGCTGTGAAAAGGGGATATAGTTTCTCAAACTCTGATGGGCTGAATCTTGCAGCCTGGCTGGGTACTGGGGAGATGTTGGGGAGCTGCTGCCTCCAGCTGTGTCTGACTCTCCTGTCCGCAGCAGATTTCTGTAGCAGCGCCTGCATCCAGCCCTTGACAGCAGTTTGTGCCTGGTTGTATGAATAGAAACTGAAGTTGAGGGTGGATTAAAGAGCTGAGCCAGACTCTGAACCATGCCAGCTGAGAAGGAGACTTTCTCCTTTGCTTTGTTGGGCTGGTTACATCCCCCAGACAGGCAGGGCAGACATCCGGGGGAGGTAACCTCCTCCCTGGGCTGATCACAAATCTCCATGAGTCAAAGCCCTTCGTCTCATCTCTTCCTTTGTTTATTCTCGATTAATCCTGCACACCTTAGAGCCTTTATTCCTGAGCTGTGGCCTGAAATGGTGGCTGTGAGTCAGGGCAGTCATAGTTTCCCTTTTTACTCATCTAAAATGAAGAGAACAGCCACGGTCTAGCAGTTGCTCGAGGTCCCTGCCCCAGTGCAAGGAGCACAACTCGGAGGTGGGGTGTGGGAGTGTCTGTGCCCAGAACACTCGTTTGTTCCATGAACAGGGGAACTACTGAAGCCTGGTTTTCTGCAAGATGCCATTCACTCCATCCATTTTCTTTTCTGTCTGTGTCCACAGCGTGCACTGCAGTCCTCCCCTATGGCTTTGAGTCGTCACTGCTGTACCTTGAAGCCGTCGTTTTAAAGCATTTAAAGCCAGTACCGCTAAAAGCAGCTGTCCTGCCTGATGCAGGCTACTCCTTTCCTCCCCTCCTGGTGGCACATGGAGTTATGCAGCAGTGCAGTGAAACCTGCTGTGGGAAATCGATCTGGCTTAAAACTAGCTTCTATCTTTTCTTTGTTAACTTTATCCCAGAAGAGGCTTCCCAGTCCCGTTCACTGTGTGGCCACACAGGTGCTTGTGCTGGCTTGAGGGAGGAGGCAGGAAAATGTCACCAGGAGCAGTGGTAGAATAGAATTACTTCTCTTGACAGTCTGTGCCTGCTTGATCAGTATCAACATCATTTCATGTCCCTTCCACCGTCCCTTGGCAACTCCTGTGTCTGCTGCCTGTTATTTTTGGCTCATTGACTATTGCCAGTCTGAGCAGCCAGGAGCAGAGAACTTCTTCCCCTCCCTCGCTGGGGCTGTAGGGTCCCTTTCTCCTGCCCAGCCAACAATTTTTGCAGAGCTCATAAGGACTCAGAGCCATCTAACGTCCGGTTGGATCTCAAACCCTCATGCTGCAGGGATGATAAAGGGATGGGGCTGGTGCAGGAGGACAGGGGATGAGGAAGAAATAAAGATCACAAACTTTTTCTTGAGGAAATAGCGGCTAAGAGAAACTCTTATCGTGACATGAATATGGCAGTTCATATGACCAAGAAAACACATGTAGGCTGGTGTAAGGATGATGTTTTAAATGACAAACCAACACTGTTTTTTCGCTGTACTAATGCAAGAGTTTTACTAAAACTAAAAACTAGAACTCTGTTTTTTTTTAAATTGCAACCTTTACTTAGAAGATAATAACACATGTAGGCTGGTGTAAGGATGATGTTTTAAATGACAAACCAACACTGTTTTTTCGCTGTACTAATGCAAGAGTTTTACTAAAACTAAAAACTAGAACTCTTGTTTTTTTTGAAATTGCAACCTTTACTTAAAAGATAATATTTCTGAAATTTTATGGTTTTAGACTTTAAAATGTAGTTATTGCTTGTAGGTTTACAAGTTCTACTATTTTAAAAATGAGAAAGCCATCCCGCTTTTTCTAATGGACATCATCAGAGTCAAAAACTTGGCACTTTCTAGTACAATTAAGACCCTAGAAAGTACGTATTTAATGACTTGCCTCCTTTGACTAGTTGGATCTACTTATAAGAATTACACATGTTTTTGTTCCAGATCACTCTGTTTCCCAGCCAATTATGGTTCAGAGAAGACCTGGTCAGGGGTTTCATGTGAATAGTGAAGTCAACTCAGTGCTTTCACCACGGTCAGAGAGTGGAGGACTTGGAGTTAGCATGGTGGAGTATGTGTTGAGCTCATCTCCTGGAGACTCCTGCCTAAGGAAAGGAGGATTTGTAAGTGTGCCCGATTCTGACATTTGAGTTCCCATTATGTTATTTTTCTCCATTTGCTGCTTGGTTTGTTTGTTTGTTAATCCATTCCTAAAGGCAAATGTTTCTTCTTTCTTTTATTTGCTCTTAGTTTAGCTGCCTTTCCTAAAAGGGGCAGGTTAGCAGTTTAACTGTTGTTGTTGACTTAGGAGATGCAGTATGGAGGTGGGTGTAAGGGATGGGAGGGTTGCTGACATTCCCTGGTTCTTCAGATAAGCACGCTGGCAGTAACACCCCATCTAAGCTTGTCGTTGGAAAAGTACGCAAATATATCTGTGGTTTTTGAATGAGCGTGTGGCTGCTTTGGTGCTGGCTAAGAACAAAAAGCTCCATGTAATGATGCTAGAGATGTAACGTAGCTACAAAAGCCACTCCAGCTGGGGAATGCTTTCAAGGGCATATCGTTTCCCGTGGAGAAGTAGCATTAGGCACTGTGCTTTGTGCGGTGGGAAGGGAGCACAGTTGCTGCTGCCTGGAATCTGAGGATGCGGTGAGAGAGGCATAATCAAGCCCCATCCCTGTAGTGAGGAAAAAAAGGGGCTGTATCTCAGCTCTACCTCATCGGCCAAGTGCTAGATCAGGAGTTGTCAAAAAACATAAAAGCAGAGTAGGTTTGTTACTGCTAGACTGCTGTGCTCATCTCTTCAGGGAGCTGATTTGTGGTTTCCTTCATCCATCCTCTTATTTTTGTCCCTCATTAGTGGGCACCTGATAACCTTGTTGAACCCTGAGCCTAAGAAAGATGATTTCTGAGAAATGAACAATCAGTGGAAGGAGCCGATTTATCATTCGAATTAGGGGTTAGAGAGGGATCTGCTCAGCAGCGTGCACGGTCAGGATGTCAGTTCTGAAATGAAGGGGCTCACTGGTGAATGTCACATAGTGTGGGTGAGAATTGGGCTTCAAATTTCTATTTACAATTGGCATTTCCAAGTCTGCTCTTTAATGTTAAGGAAGCATGATTTTATTTTCTTGAAGAAGACGCATCAGAAGATGATTGCTTTTAAAACAATCTTTTTTTTCCTATATATGGAGGGGAAGAAAAATCCTCTCCTCCAATTAGAGAGGGTGGAAAAATGATTCAGTTGATACAGGGTTCAAATGCCCTGTTACATACAGAGTATTTTTTCCTCAAATGAAGTGGAAGACAGGGTTTGAATGGCTGTCTTTGTGACAGCACCAAAGCTGTCTATGATAAATATGTTTATATGCCCCTTGCTGTTTTTTATCATAAATTATGTTGTTTTCCTTCTCTCTTTTGTTGTTCAAAACTCTGCCCCTGGCATAATCACCCTTTATTCTTCTCCCAAGTGAAATAAAATGCAGATTTTAATGCTGCAGATGTAATACCACTCATAAAACGCTCAACAAAACAGAAATCTTTTTTTCTCTTTTTTTTCCCCATCCTTTTTTCCCCCCCAAAGCAGTGCTTTAGGCTTATATAAACTAATGATCGAGCTAGTGGTTGACTTGAGTGGTCTTAAATGAGCTGTACCTTGCAATTCACTGTGCAAATCCCATTAATGCCCCCCAAAACCCAGGTGATCCTGTTCTACTCAAATTCATGAACTTGTCCAGTCAATTACTGCATCTCTGACACTGAGACAGCGACTCTCGAAGAGGCACTAATTCAGTTTATACCCCTTCAGTACATGCTGTTGTATTTAAAAGCTCCTGAGTTAATTCTGAAGTGCCTAAGTTTCATCCAGGGAGAGGATTTGGATAAGTATTCTTTAAAATTATTCTGGGGTGGGATTTTTAGAGCCTGTAGAATCAGACCCTGAATTACCAAATGGAAGAAACTACAGATAGATAAAACCTCTTGTTGAAGAGTGAGAACCAATTGCCTTATTTCTTCAATTATGATTGACTATTTTGCTTTTTTTATATTTTTATTTCTAAGAACTAATGTTTGCAGGCGACTTATTGTGATATCTTTCTTTGATTTGTTACTATCTCGGAATAAAAGCAAAATTCATCTGAAAATGAAGCTTATTAAAATGATGTCTCTTTTGCCTAGGGGCCAAGGGATGCAGAGAATGATGAGAGTGACAAAGGGGACAAGAAAAATAAGGGTACATTTGATGGCGATAAATTAGGAGATCTGAAGGAGGAGGGGGATGTGATGGATAAAACAAATGGTTTGCCTGTGCAGAATGGAATCGATGCAGATGTCAAAGACTTCAGGTACGTGCACTGTTAGTTAATGATTAATCAGTATCACACAACTTTTTTTTTTTTTTTGAAAGATTTTCCATGCTGTAGTGAAAAAGCCTTTGACTCATTGAGACAGTGTCATGAGGAGGTTATAGTGTACACAGGGAAGCACTCTGAGAGCGGAGGATAACATCTGACAGTCTGTGCAAACCTGGTTCTGTATTTTGTAATCTTGTTTGATTTTCATACCTATTTTTAATTACTCTGGGATTCCTGTGGAAATACCTCCTGAAGATGTTGACCCTGCTTATATGCTAGTTCTAAATTATACTTGGGGTTTTGGACTTGTTCCTTGTAGCTCTCAAGAGACTAGAGCCTTGTGAAATCATGGCTATTGATGTAATCGATGCATTTGTATTTCTTGCTAGCTTACCTGATCGCTGTGCCTCCTGTTGACACGTAGGAAAACTGTAAAAGCAAAACAAACATGATGTGAGGCACATCCTGCTGGGCCTTGCATTGAGATGAGCCATTCCCCACTCGAGTCCCGTGCTCGTATTTGGTAATTGGGGAAACCACGGCAGCTACTTTAGAAAGGTTTCAAGTGAGATACAGCACCGGAGCGCTACATGGTTAATAATTACCAAATAGCTTTATGAAAAGCTAACTTGGCATTTCTGAAATCCTGTCCTGTTATGGCTGACTCTCTCCTCAACTGAAGAGAAAAAAGAAACTGAAATTTTTTACACTTGTCCTGTAACAGGTCTTTGAGGTGTTTTGTGGGTGTTTTTTTTCTTTGTTTTTTTTTTTAAATACATAATTTGTTCTGTAGAATTCATTTAGGGAACTATTTCAGACCCTCCTTTTAATTTTTTTCCCTTTATCACAACATCTACAAGCAGGTCTGGTGAGTACTAGTGTCTGTTGCTGTTATCAACGCTGTGTGACACAGCATTAAACGGACGTGCTTAGTGACGAGTACCTTTTCTTTCTGTCTAGCCGTACACCTGGTAACTGCCAGAACTCTGCTAGTGAAGTAGATCTTCTGGGTCCAAACCAGAACGGATCAGAGGGCTTAGCCCAGCTGGCGAGTACCAATGGTGCCAAGCCAGTGGAAGATTTCTCCAACATCGAGTCCCAGAGTGTCCCTCTGGATCCCATGGAGCACGTTGGCATGGAGCCTCTTCAGTTTGATTATTCCGGCACTCAAGTACCCGTGGACTCGGCCGCAGCCACCGTGGGGCTCTTCGATTACAATTCCCAGCAGCAGGTAAAGTGTTGGCCCTTGGTTCTGCCCTACCACTCCAGTTCCTCCAGCGGAGTCGTCATGGGGTTACCATGAGCTCAGGCCCTCGTCTTGGGGACAGGGATGGAGGCAGATTTGGAATGGTTTCATCATCTCTGTGCCGTCTGTAGATGAGTGCTGCATGTGTCCTCGGGAGCTCGAGGCAGGATCTCCCCAACTTGCCCATCCAAACAGCACTCTTACGGACCTGTAACAAACAGCAAGTTTTTTCTGTGTATTAATAATTTTTAGCTTGAGTAAGCTTGCATTGGAGAAGAGCTTTAAATTAGTAAAAACTGCTAAGCAAACAAACAGAAACACTACCCCACCAACCCATCCTTGAGCCCTTAAAGCAATTTAAAGGTCAGAGGACAGTTCAGGCTCGGTGTTGCAGCCCCGCTTTGGGATCTCTGCAGTTCCAGACCAGAGCAGACTGAAGGAATAATGAGTTTTAATGTGCTCACTCATACCTGAGCATGGTTTAAAACCTGAGGTCAGAGTTCAATACTACAAAACTTTATCTTAGCCCAACAGGTTGGTTTGACCTTTTCTCCCAGGCGAGCAGCCAGAGCTTCTCAGCCCGGGCAAGTAATGCAAATCCTTGCATGGCTGTTGGCTTCTCTTGAATGCTGGGCTTAGATCCAATGGTCGACTTGTAATCTAGTCCTGTTCCTGCTAGTTTAGGTGACGATTGTAAACTTTTATTGCTTGCCTTTTGCAAGCGTGATATCCCTCAAAGAAGAATAAAATCCTTTGTTGTAGGTGATCGCGAGAGTATATAACTAGCCTTGGGTTTCCTGAAATATCTGATTTTTTTTTTTTTTTTTTTTTTTGACAAAATAGCCTCTGGCACTCTGTATTGAGGAAAGACCATTGCCAGGTTTGTGCTAAAGACCCACCTTCAGAGAGTTATCATAGTCTTAAAAGCCATGTAAATACCTGCGTTGTAGCTTAATCGGTTGTTATATAGCATGTTCAGGAGGTTAATGATGGAAAATTTTTAATGATTAAACTGAATAGCTCCTGTATAGTTCAAAAAGAAAAAAAAAAAAGCTAGTTTCAAGTCTTTGTCTTACACTGGTATAGAACCTTGAATGCAAGAGTTACTTTCAAAAACTGAAGCTTGTGTATTTTTTAAAAAAAGTATGTTAGAGCTAAATAAGTGAACTGCTTTTTAAAGAACCGTTAGATATGGGAAAATAACTGCAAGAATGTAAAGCCTGTAATTTGCATTTTGGCAGTGGTTTCTGTTTAAATTAAGGCTTATTTACAAGTTCAAATAGTTCTTATTTGTCTCCAGCCTTTAAAAAATAGGAGTTAAGGTCTGACACGTCTTGCGCCTAGCTAGTGGGAATAAAACCTCTCAAAGCAAGGCTGACCTGGCGAGCGTGCCGGTTTCAGACGTGATTGTGGTTTGGCTTTCCGGCTCTGGATGGCCCTAGACAGGCCTGTTGGATTTTTGGTTTTGGGTGGGCCTTGACAGGCCTGTTGGTTTTTTTTTTTTTTTTTTTTTTTTTTTTTGTAAAGTGGATGGGCAGTATCCACATGGAGCTGATGTCACCTTGCTGTAATCATGCTTCAGACTTTCTGCTGGGTTGCCTGTGGAGCTGACGCTCTCGTCTCTGAACTGTGAGTTCTGCGATGGAGCAGGAGGTCCTGGCGCCGGGAGCACCACTGCCGCCCACCCCGTTGCTCCGGCTTGCTCAGCTCCCGCCCAGCCCATGCTGAGTGAGAACAAACAGACCAGGCAGTTTAGTAAGGATTTATTTTAAAGTTTCAGCTTCGTTGGAATAGCTACTTATACCTACAGGAAATGCAGATGACAGGCTGGTGTGAGCGTCAGTGCTGCGTTAAAGACGAGGATTCACTCTCCTGCCAAATGCGACCTCTCGGTGCACGTTTGTATAAACGGGATGTATCTTGGCTCAGAGTTCTACCCGCTTTCTTAATATATGATACCCAGCAGCCAGCATTTCGTGGGATTTGCTGTCTGCCAGTTATAGCGCGTATAAAAGAAATCTCTCTTTTGGCAGTATAGTCTTTTCCATTCAGTTGTCAGGAGGAAATATGTCCTGAACAAAAGGATCCCATCTGTAAAAGTGTCTTTCTTGGTCCGTTGGGAAGCATCGTATACTTTGAAGGGATTACAAGCAAGTACAGCTCAAAGCAATAGTAAGAAGGGAAGGTCTTAACCACGTGTAATCTGATTAGAGATGTCAGATGTTTATATTGCAGAAGAAACTGGTTTACAGAAATCTAATCTGACCGTGTTCCCGTAACTATAATACAGACTGCGATGTTCTTGGAATTCCCTCGATGAACTCCCCCACGTGTTGTAAATGATACTTCATTTGTGTACACGTGTGAGAGAGGAAAATAGCCTCGCTTTTTGAAATGTCGGGTGATCCTACTGAACTCCTCCGAAGCCGTGTCAGTAGGTTTTCACTTTGAGTGTGATTTCTCATAATCAAAAATGTTCGTGCGTACTTTTTTTATAACTTCAGCCTCACTTTGTCAGTTCTAGTTAATATCCCTGGTAAAGAGGTTTCTATTCCTTCTTCTGCTTACTGGGGACCACAATTTAATCCTGATGTGTAGTCTTTTAGAATATAGGTCTTTGCTGTCAGCAGATGGAGACAGTGCATTGAGGCTTTCATAACTTTCTAAATTCCCAGATCTCATGTGGTGTAGGGACTTACCTGGCTAAGTAAAGCCTGAAATTGTGGTTGGTTTTGTTGGTTCCGCTTCCTCATATACGCTACAGGCAGGATGAAATCTGCAGCTGCAAAAAGTGTAGCTGTTCATGCTGAGTTTCTTCTGGGTAAGGCGGGTCTAGAGGCTGGGTTTGCAGGCTCGCAGAAACTGGGATTTACAGCAGGCAGAGAGGGAGGTCGCTGGTTTGAGTCACTGCCCAAGTGTGTGGCTTAGACACCAACATTTCTGTGACCTTTCTTGGGAAGGGAAACTCCGTAAAGATTTGAGCAGAGGTCCGCTGCAGGCAGAAGGAATCCAGCCCTTCCTCGTGCTTGCAGCACAGCGTGAATGCAGAACGTTTGTGTAGTTTTAAAGAAGCTCAGGAATATTGTCAGAGGCAGTAAGCGTCGCTGC